GATATGGAGACATATGAAAATTAATAAAATCAAATCTCACTGAAAATTCAAATCAATGTAATACAAAAATCCAAAGGTTGCCAAACAAAAAAAAACAACAAAAGAACTCATGAACTATCTGCATACTCTAATGTACAGGGGTTATAGACATATTTAATGTTGTGGGTGTTGTGTGCTTTTATGATGTCCTATCACAGATAGAATGCAGGTGTGTAGCCATTTAAGTGATCGCTGTGTAGTATGTATAGAATGTCTCACAGATTTTCTGACTTTGGTTTGGCAACAATCATATTATTATCTTATATTGATACAAACTTATGATATCGTCTTAAGAATTTCTCAGATAGGTTAATTTTTACTATATCAATGTTTAATGAAAGTTACATGTATTTGGGGCTTTAGTTGAAAAAATTCTTAAGCTTGATTCATCAATTTCATTTGAAATGGAAACTCTTTAAATATCCTCAATCATAACCTTTATTTCATTTAAATACATGTTATGAATAATGATCAAAGCACTTTGAACTTGAGATTTGATTGTGATTTTTTGGATGAAGAAACAATTACAAAATGACTAAACGACCTTAGTTTAACATTGAGTGACACAGACATTGAACAATGCTTGCTTTGATTTCAGTCCATCCCTATTACAATACATGTAGGATAGTAAAACACTCCTAGCAACACTTAGTTGTCAATGCAAATGATATTCATGAAAGGATTTCTTGTTTGGAGACATTGTCTGGAATGTAAACATGGAGGTCGTCATTACAGTGCCATCCTGAACATTTATTGATTGTACCAATCAGATCAATGTTGCTGTAAACTCGAATCTGTTTTTCCTGTTGTGATCTCACTTCAGTAATCACAACAAATAAAGCCACTTAGGACAGCAGACGATAGTGTAAAATCAATTGCTCATTCATTCAATTAAATTGTGATCTTTGGTGGGAGTGTTAGGGAGAACTATGTTATCAAACAGATTGTGACTTTAGTGATACTGGCCTGTGAACATATTATCTTGAATAAAATAGATTTGGTGAAACATGCTTGTAAAATAGAACCTGAAATTTTAAGCAATATTTCTTAGACATTGAACTGCTTTTACTCACGAATTTAGTATTGCTGACTGGACAAAGGCTAATTCATTGAAGCCTGTTGTCAAATTGGTATTCATATGCCTGTAAATGCCAACTGAAAGAGTTCAGTGCTTATATTTACTTATTTCTTATGTTAACCAAGTTTTCATTTTTAATTAGAAAACAAATTCTTTCTACAACATCACATAATGTAATTCAACAAGGGCTTGGAGATAATCACATATGCGTTTTGCTCTCACTGCATTTCATACTGATGTGCTAAGATAAGAATGGATTTCTATGATTGAGTAAAACCTTGGTCAATAAAACACCTATCATATACACTTAAGTTTATACAGGTAATAGTATAGTTGTCATTATTTGGAAAAAATAGGTCCTTTTTTACAATCCATATAAATCAATTTAAGTAACATTGCACAACAGGTCGATCATCTGTTCACATCAATAGACACATAAAATTTTCTTATTCAGCAAATACTTTAACATTGACTGCAATGGGGACCTAAAAGTGTATCAAGTATTTTTCCTGGACTAAATAGGTAGAGCAACTTTCACATTCACTTGAATCAAAGTGATATTATTGGCACTGACTTGAACAGAGACGTATGATACCTTATCTAATTCAAACACTTATGTCCCATGGTTCAGACATTTATTTTCCTTATCAGTTATAAACACCTGGTATCTATAACTATTGTTAAGGACCTATGTGTTTAGCTTGGACAAGTTTTGCATTGTTTTAATCAAACTAACTGTTAGTGGAAACTGCAAATTTTATTTCACTTGATTCGTTGGTTTATCTTTCATTAGAAAAATGGTTCCATTTCCCAACGGATATTTCCAGTCTGGCGAGTCTTCTATAGTGTGTTAGTGAAACATTGTAACACAGACTTTAGGGAACATCTGATATATGTAAAAGGTCACCAGGACCAATATACAGACTTTTAGAGGGAACAGAACATGATGAAATAAAACAGAATCATATTTATCATGTTGCCTCCATGGTGAAGTCTCTTGTAACTATTTTGGTTGATGCATAATTTCAATACTGAATGGCTTCTATAGTGATGTCTGTTAAGGACCAGTTAGTGATGTCTGTTTAGTACTAGTTAGTGATGGCTGTTCAGGACTAGTTAGTGATGTCTGTCTAGTACTAGTTAGTGATGTCTGTTCAGGACTAGATAGTGATGTCCATTCAGGACTAGTCAGTGATGTCTCTTCAGTACTAGTTAGTGATGGCTGTTCAGGACTAGTTAGTGATGTCTGTCCAGTACTAGTTAGTGATGTCCGTTCAGGACTAGATAGTGATGTCCATTCAGGACTAGTCAGTGATGTCTGTCCAGGACTAGTTAGTGATGTCTGTTGTTAAGGACTAGATAGTGATGTCTGTTCAGGACTATATAGTGATGTCTGTTAAGGACCAGTTAGTGATGTCTGTCAAGGACTAGTTAGTGATATCTGTTCAGGGCTAGTAAGTGGTATCTGTCCAATACTAGTTAGTGATGTCTGTTCAGGACCAGTTAGTGATGTCTGTTCAGGACTAGTTAGTGATGTCTGTTCAGGACCAGTTAGTGATATCTGTTCAGGACTAGTTAGTAATATCTGTTCAGGACCAGTTAGTGATGTCTGTTCAGGACTAGTTAGTGATGTCTGTTAAGGACCAGTTAGTGATGTCTGTCCAGTACTAGTTAGTGATGTCTGTTCAGGACTAGTTAGTGATGTCTGTTAAGGACAAGTTAGTGATGTCTCTCCAGTACTAGTTAGTGATGTCTGTTCAGAACTAGTTAGTGATGTCTGTTATGGACCAGTTAGTGATGTCTGTTTAGTACTAGTTTGTGATGTCTGTTCAGAACTAGTTAGTGATGTCTGTCCAGGGCTAGTTAGTGATGTCTGTCCAGTACTAGTTAGTGATGTCTGTTCAGAACTAGTTAGTGATGTCTGTCCAGTACTAGTTAGTGATATCAGTTTAGTTCTAGATATAGATGTTTGTTCAGGACAAGTTAGTGATGTCTGTTCAGAACTAGTTTGTGATGTCTGTCCAGGGCTAGTTAGTGATGTCTCTCCCGCACTAGGTAGTGATGTCTGTCCAGGGCTAGTTAGTGATGTCTGTCCAGGGCTAGTAAGTGATGTCTGTCTAGGGCTAGTCATTTATTGACTATTACAAAAATAGAAACAGTTTGGTGTTCTTTAACAGGAATAAATGTTATGCCAAATGCCAAATTCTTATTATGCATGCTGAAACCAAATATGATTCTGACTGGTAGTTACCACTGTTTGTTTCCCCCTCCCACCCCTACCCACTGCTACATTTACCATCTGATCAGGGCAGTCACATTTACCATCTGATCAGGGCAGTCACATTTACCATCTGATCAGGGCAGTCACATTTACCATCTGATCAGGGCAGTCACATTTACCATCTGATCAGGGTAGTCACATTTACCATCTGATCAGGGTAGTCACATTTACCATATGATCAGGGCAGTCACATTTACCATATGATCAGGGCAGTCACATTTACCATCTGATCAGGGTAGTCACATTTACCATCTGATCAGGGCAGTCAACAGTCACATTTACCATCTGATCAGGGCAGTCACATTTACCATATGATCAGGGCAGTCACATTTACCATCTGATCAGGGCAGTCACATTTACCATATGATCAGGGTAGTCACATTTACCATCTGATCAGGGTAGTCACATTTACCATCTGATCAGGGCAGTCAACAGTCACATTTACCATATGATCAGGGCAGTCAACAGTCACATTTACCATATGATCAGGGCAGTCACATTTACCATCTGATCAGGGTAGTCACATTTACCATCTGATCAGGGTAGTCACATTTACCATATGATCAGGGCAGTCACATTTACCATCTGATCAGGGCAGTCACATTTACCATCTGATCAGAGTAGTCACATTTACCATATGATCAGGGCAGTCACATTTACCATCTGATCAGGGCAGTCAACAGTCACATTTACCATATGATCAGGGTAGTCATATTTACCATCTGATCAGGGCAGTCACATTTACCATCTGTTCTGGGCAGTCCTGTTCCTAAACTGTTCTGGGCAGTCCCATTCCCCAACTGCTCTGGGCAGTCCTGTTCCTAAACTGTTCTGGGCAGTCCCATTTCCCATAAGTTTTCAGCAGTCACATTTACCATTTGTTCTGGGCAGTCCTGTTCCTAAACTGTTCTGGGCAGTCCTGTTCCTAAACTGTTCTGGGCAGTCCCATTCCCCAACTGCTCTGGGCAGTCCTGTTCCTAAACTGTTCTGGGCAGTCCCATTTCCCATAAGTTTTCAGCAGTCACATTTACCATTTGTTCTGGGCAGTCCTGTTCCTAAACTGTTCTGGGCAGTCCCATTTCCCATAAGTTTTCAGCAGTCACATTTACCATTTGTTCTGGGCAGTCCTGTTCCTAAACTGTTCTGGGCAGTCCCATTCCCCAACTGCTCTGGGCAGTCCTGTTCCTAAACTGTTCTGGGAAGTCCCATTTCCCATAAGTTTTCAGCAGTCACATTTACCATTTGTTCTGGGTAGTCACATTTACCATCTGATCAGAGCAGTCACATTTACCATTTGTTGTGGGCAGTCCCATTCCCCAACTGTTCTGGGCAGTTCTGTTACCCAACTGTTCTGGGCAGTCCTGTTTTCATTCTATTCTGGGTAGTTATGTCCCCCATTCACTGTCTGTTACCCATTCAAATCAATGCAATATCTTGAGAACATCTCAGAATATTTGGTTTATATTTACTTTATATTATCATAATGTTTATATGCTAGTTATCATTTGCTAGTACTTTCTACTGTAGACCCTACCTTGTTGAAGAACTTCCGCTATTTACTTTGTGTTAGTTCTCAGCTGATACTGAACTTTGCTTTTATAGATGCTCTCAATGATGCTATCTTTGATGAGGATCACGATGACATGGTGATAGTAAAAGATATAGAGATGTTCTCTTTATGTGAACATCATCTAGTACCATTTATTGGAAAGGTGAGTACATTTCCTTCCTATCGTTTTGACAATTATTTAGTGACAGAATTCGAAGTAGACATGTTCGAAATCTTATAATCACTGATGACAACAAGACTATGCACCATTTCAAAAAGAAAATTTACCACTATTATATTGTAAGCCCACTGGTACCATTGTCAGATCATGGGCTTCTCAAATCACTTTTTGTCTATGGTTTGTCGTCCATCTGTCCATCAACAATTACCATCTTTATTTCTTTAGAACTACTTCGTAGGTCATTCTCAAATTTCATATGAAAAATCCTCTTCTTCCTATGTTGTGCATTCAATTCTGGGACTGATTGGTATAGAAAGGCTGACAGACAGCCACTTCAGATTTTGATCGTTAAAGTTGTTCATTATTTCTTAAAAGTAATGGATGGATCTTTCTTATAAGGTAGGTTCTTCGTGGTCCCTAGCTTAAAAGACCTCATAAAAATCATAAAATGATAGGCACCAAGATCCCACAGGGATCTCTTTTTTTAGTTAGATACTTTATATATTTGTTGAAAAAAGATATTATAAATGATTTAGATTACTAAGCATGAGTAGTATATGTTGAAAAACAATGAAAATGTGACATTGCATCTGTATCTGACTAGAATATATATGGTTTTGAATACAATAGATTTCAAATTGGTCAGTAAACAATAATATCCTCACACTGTGGCATAATTAATATCATTATTATTTTTTTTTCGTATTTCAGTCTCCTATTGCCATATAATTTTAATTTGAAATAAAAAGTGTAGTAACATTGATGATATAAATAGGCATTTGGAAATAAACAATTTTGTTGACATGTCAACTCGTGCAGAACGAGGAACCACTAGATCAATCAATTTATGATGTCATTGGAATGTAACATGACTACAACATTGTGTCATTTACAGGAATTTCAAAGGAATTATAGTAAATGGCCATTCAATATTGATGAAAAGCCTTAATTGAAATATGATACAGTGTGTTCCAGAGCTCGGTGACGTGTAGGTGTTTGATATGCTGATGCAGCGTTTCAATCAGGGTGCTGAAAATGTTTCATAAGTATTGAAAAATTATATGAAAAGCTACAATAAAAACAAATTATTCTAGTTAGAAACTATCCATCAGTCATTAATTTTGTTTTTTTATAGTTTTCTCTTAGCCTTTCTGAAGTGTTCCTCATGTGCATGTCATTCACGTTGAAGTTGTTGTTACATATTTATTCATCCATTGCCTGCGACTGGGAGTGAAAAAAAGAAATCAATTTTTCCACCATTTTCTGGTGTGAGGGTATAGAGTGGTTATGGCATCTAACTGACGTTGTCACTTGCCCTCCACCTCGAGCTCAGGATCACAGGTCGTAGACTTACATGAGACAGCCACCAGGTATTGGCTGCTGGTTGGTGGTTTTTCTCCAGGAAATTTGGCTTTCCTTCACCACCCAAACCAGGCACTTTCTTAAAAATGACCCAGGCTGTTAATAATATGTAAACCAACAATTAAAAAATTAAATAAAGTTGGTAATTATCATATGATAAGTTTTTGCCCAAATTAGTCTAAATATAAATAGCAAATATTTCCCAGATTAGTCTATATGTAAAAGTCAGATAACTGTTTATCATTATTAATGTCTTACATCACAACATGTCACTTTTGTCATGAGAGTTGCATTTCCTCAAGCATGTGAAGTATTTTGTTCTCTCCCCTGAAGTTAACAAGTCAAGTCTTCCAGTTAAGACTACTTGCTGCTCTCTCAAATTAATCTTAAAATGGATGACAGAAAGGCCTGGTTAACTAGATGTCAATTTATATATAATATCACCAGGTGTTGTGCCTAAGTGATGATAGCACTTTAAAAAAAACTATATTCATGAGCTTATATTCATATCACTTAATTCATATAAGCTGCTGTGGGGAATTAAACCCCTGATAAATAAAATCTATCTTATGATGGTGGTTAAACCATTTGTACATTGTTTTTAAAAGAATTGCAATGCAAACTTGAAGCTGTGCAGAAAATTGAAATGTTTTCCTCATTTCATTCCAGGTCTCCATAGGCTATCTTCCAAACAAGAGAGTGCTAGGACTAAGCAAACTAGCGAGGTAAGATATATCAGCTTTGTTTCCACTTCTATTTGGATGCTAATTGCTTGAGAGGTTTTCCATTGGTTTGATCACTTATTCGAACAAGGTACAAACTACAAATAGGAAAATGCTGGTTTTTTTCTGATCATGCCCCTTAGCTCTTGACAATAAAAACTGATAAAATCCAAACATGGTATATCAGTATTAAACCAAAGTCACAAATAATTGATATGAAATATATGTAACTTTTACCGTCACAGCAATAGTTTGTTGGCCACTGTGAACCAACATTGATTTCCTCAGAGTGATGACGACACTATTGAATAGGCACCGGATCCAGTGTAGTGGGTGTTAATCAAGATGATAAATACTGTTGTGTTGTGGGAAGTCTAAATGCCATACATTAATGACGCTCATGCTCCGATGCTTTGTTCTGTAATATCCCTCAAGGTTCTAAGTTACACTAACAGGTACTGATGCCATACACACTTACATCACCACACTAAGGTGTATAGATATGACGTAAGCATTTATGGCCTTTTTGGTTCTATTTATTTAGACCTATACTAATCAAATGTAACCTAATATTGGACAATCTGTCCCACTCATTTCAAAAACCAATACTTTAAAGTGCACATAATTGATTTTCCTTTTGTTATAGATGGAAAGTAAATGTAATCTGTTGCTTTTTAAACAAATTTGTGGGGTGTTTATGTACTACATATGAAATGAGCCTGCCAGAAACTGTACCCAGCTTATCAAATTGATATGGATATCAATGCATCCAAAAAGGTCTAGATATTCTGCTCTAAAGAGATATGTAATCTCCTTATAAAGGAAATGGAGATTTTAATAGGTGACTACATCCATAATGTTCAGCAGACATACAGATGTGTATGTAGTAGCTCCAGTCATATCTTTTCTGTACACTCTTATTATCATAGAAAAACTTAGATTGTGAAAATGTTATCATACATAGACCACAAAATTATTCCTAAGAGGATTTCAAGAATACAAATCAAAACAAAGGGACCACTGTTATCAGTGACCGGGAAATTTTCTCTGTACAGTGGTAAATAAATACAATTATAAGTTTTGAATAGAAAAGAAAAAGAATAAAAAATAGTGATTTAAAGCAAGTATACCAGTACATCAGTACAAGACATCAGTATCAAGTTTACTAGAATCGTCATTTGCAACCATATTCAGGATGATTTTAAGATTGAAATAAAAATAGCATTCTCAAGAATTTAATAAGTGATACCTTTTGATATGAATCATAGTAATGTTTTCTGAACTTTCGTTGTTGCTTTGGTGGCCATAGTGAAAATGTACAATAGCCTGATGCATCCTGGGATTGATGGGTCATTGGGTCAAATTATGGAACAACAGCCATGTTTGTTTATGATAAGAATGGTTTCATGTAACTTACTAGAAATAATATGGCACTATAAGAATTTTGTCAACATACAAGGGCCTTCACTTATATCTAACAGTACAGACACCGATGGAGATATTGCTATGTAAACTGTAGGTAACATCAGGCTCTGTATCTGTGCGTAGACAATTTTTCGAGGCTCCCAAGCCAAATGAGTTTGATAATTGCTATTTCATGTTTTTCAACCACATCAGTAATGTATAGGACTATCTGTGTATAATTCATTTGCAAAATTATATTAAATATTTCACTGACGATCTTGATTATTGCCTTCCATTGACAATTATATTGACTCACTTTGGTCAACATAATGGTTACAACATCGTAAGAAAGGGTACGTCTTATATGTGAATCAAATAAAAAAAATGACTGAAAATCAGCCCTGCAGCTTACATTCGGATGCAGTTTATTTATAGCCTGTAAAATATGGTGCAGTAGTGTCAAGATTGAGGTATAAGTTGTAATATGATGACCTCACTGTGATTTAACTTATCAAGTGATGAAAGCAGGCCCTGTGAACCTCTTGCTTTATTCTTCAGAGTGTCAAGTCATACCTTCCCCATTATATTAAAGAGCGAGTGTAAACTAGGTGACATTGACGTGTATTGATTCCCATGGATATAACATGTTTTATGGTCCTGCCTCAGCAGCTAGGGATAATCAAGTTGTCTTTATCGTAAAACACAACTCTGTTGAAGGTATAGTGAATGGCTCCTTATTGGTTGATCACTCGGAATGTTACCCTAACAACTTTTAATAAATTATCATTAAGCTGCTTGGAAACCCATTTCCTTTGAGTTGCAGACTTGCTCTATTTTGGTCGTAAAATCAAAGTGAATGTGTTACATGAACTTTTGATTGGTATTAAAAACAAAGTGTTTGTTTGGCTAATCCATACTGTAGGCTATTTTAGGTACAATGTATTTTTGTGTAACAACCAGACACAAATTAATGATGACAACAAAATTATGGAGGCTTTGTTTAAATCATCATTAATATTCGTTCTACCTTTAATGAATGGTGTTGATTGATTTATGTAAGTACAATACAACCTTTGTCAATAAGTTTGGAAATATGTAGTCTAAAAAAATTAACTTTCCCTTCAATATGTATGTTAAAAGGTATAAGATTTTATTTTTATTTTAGAAGGAATATATTTTTCTCATTTTTACATGAAAAAAAGCTGAAATGTTTCCCCTTAGCCATGGACTGGAATAAGCATTGTCTTTCTATTATAGACATCAAATTCTTATTTATTGAGAAACTTCTGCCTTGTCCTCCCACACCCACTCACCTAAATGCATCAACAGACTTGTTTTGTAATGATGTCTAGACTGTAACATAAAAGATATATTAACAAAACTTGCAGTAAACTTCCATTTCCAAAAGATTGATGTGCTGTGTAGTTCAAGTGTCATTGGTTAATTTCTTCTCCAGGCAATAATTTTTTAAAACTTTTAAAGATATTTTTATAACAGTTGCTGTTTACCTTTATCAATCACTGAAGAAGTGCAGACAAAACTTTAAAACTGTTCAAAATATGGTAATGACAGTTGCTGATGCTATGATCATCAACTGACAAAGTGCAATGCTTTGTCATTGGACCATTGTAACATTCACTTCAAGGTCAAAGATAAAAAAAAGCATTAATTCATTTAACAATGCAACAAATATCCATATTTGCCATTAAGGGGAGTCATTTTATAGCTCACTGTCATATGATAGCCCAGCAGGGAATCTATGATATGCTTATACAGATATGCTTTTTTAGATGAAAGCAAATCTTCAATGTTTAGTTATCCATTTTTTTTTATCGGTGTTGGACCGTAAAGGATATTGTTAGGACATCTGGGGCAAAAATGGATCATGTTACAATTTAGGACATGAAGTTTCTGTTAAATTGTTAACTAAAAATAAAGATTACATTATCACAAATTTACATACAGTAACCCTTAGTGTGAAAATAACATCCATATAGACTACACCAAAATAGGGGCAGTTGACAGGTAAGTGGTTGCTTATCCCCAAAATAGTGACAGTTGACAGGATAGGGGTTGACTTCCCTGAAATAGTGACAGTTGACAGGTAAGTGGTTGCTTACCCCCAAAATAGTGACAGATGACAGGTTAGGGATTGACTACCCTGAAACAGTGACAGTTGACAGGTTATGGGTTGACTAACCCAGAAATAGTGACAGATGACAGGTTAGGGGTTGCCTTTCCCACAATAGGGACAGTTGACAGGTAAGGGATTGCTTACCCCCCAAAATAGGGACAATTAACTGGTCACTGGTTGACTACACCCGAAATGGTGACAGTTGACAGGAAAGGGGTTGGCTTCCCTGAAATAGTGACAGTTGACAGGTTAGGGGTTGACTACCCTGAAATAGTGACAGGTGACAGGTTAGGGGTTGACTACCCTGAAATAGTGACAGTTGACAGGTTAGGGATTGACTACTCTAAAACAGTGACAGTTGACAGGTTAGGGGTTGACTACACTGAAATAGTGACAGTTGACAGGTTAGGGGTTGACTACACTGAAATAGTGACAGTTGACAGGTTAGGGGTTGACTACACTGAAATAGTGACAGTTGACAGGTTAGGGGTTGCTGGTTTTAATCTAAGTTGGAAACAGACAATTCTCCATCTTATTACTTAAAACAAGTATTTTGGTAGTAAATTTATTTCAGCACTTTTCACTTTGAGAATAATTCACTAAAATATGATTGCGCTCATTGAGCTTTCAAATGTATATATAAAGTGAGTCAGTGTTGCGCTAATGTGCCAAAAATTGATAATCTGCTAAAATTTGATTGCACTAAATTAAGTATGTTTATAGTGATAGAAAAGGGGCTCAACACTCTTAACATTGAACTTTGCTTTGATAAGCTGGAATGGATTTGTAAGTGGATTCTGTAAAGTTCCTTTACTAATAGCAGGCTGAAACATTTAGACATTAAATAACATTAACTCTTCATTGCCATAACTCTCCTCCTTGTAACACATATGTAAGCTGCTCTTTGAGAATAGTCCTTTTGGTTTGAACCTCATTATAAACTAGAAGATTTGACTCAAAACCTTATACCCGGGTTAGTTTTAAGTAAACAACAGATTGAACCAGATTGAAACGGTTGTTAATAAACAAACTTGCCAACTTCTAGAATGCTAACATATTTGAATTAAAATCAGCTGTGATTCCTAATCAATAATCAGATTTATTGAAGTTAGCAATCTGTTCCTCTATTAATGCTAATATGTATTCATGAAGTCCACATTGGTTTGAAGACAGGAATATGTAAGCCATAACTATTCTTATAATCACCCTTGCTTCAAAGACATCAATAACTACAAATATAATGGAACATGATCTGGCTTTTTCAGTTGATATAAACATTAAGACCAGAATTTAACAGTCACAAGACAGTGGTTTGGTCAGGTCAGAAATAGAAGTACCCAACAGGTTACGCTAAGCATATACATCATGGTGTCATATTTGTTTGAATATGTATGAACCTCATCCCACCTTTTCACCAGGACAAACAATGGTCATGTGTCTCACCAGGACAAACAATGAATCATCC